GAGTAGCTGGCTTTCCTCAAGACTGGTCAGAGTGGTCAAGGTTAGGAATCGTTTCCACGTTAACTGATAAATAGGATACGTGAACTTTAAACTCTGGACTGGTATATTTTGCATCCTCGAACGATAAGAGATCCAACGAAATGTTGCAAAATTCTAGTCGATGAAGCTATTATTTTATACGGATCACTGTTCGAGATATTGCTCTCTGTATTTTTCACAATGATTGACACAGAACAGAGTGTTGCTACAATTATAACGAGCTTATCAGAATCAGCAAAACACATTCGCGAAGTAAGTTATCTCGCTGTAAAATATCACGATGAATCGACACGAATGGAGACTCGATATATTTGAAACGCTACTCCGACCGCTTTCTCTAAGCTTTCCATGCCGCTTCAATTGAAATTAATATCTCGTTCGGTCTCGTTAAGCAATGCTAGACTAAACTACTTCTTATTGCTCGCTGATACGTACGTGATATGCAGCATGCTACACGAAGCTAGCTTCGATCTCGTAAAAATTTCGTCAACTATCAACTTCCTTAATCCATGCGGAGCATTTCCTCAGTTAAACTAACGAAACGTTCAATCATGTGCGAAGTCAATTCACCTTGTTGAAAAATTCTAAAGTTCCTACAATATATAATTTCCACGTTCGATCGTGGAAATTCGAATTCTATTCTACGCAGATACATTAACATAATTTAAACGTGAAGATTAGAGGATCTACAGTCGACATTTTCATTTCAACATTATTCATCTCCCACTGAAATTTCAATTCTCAGACGTCACTGTATAGATTATTTATGTTGAAATTGCTAGAATTTTGCTCTTCTTGATACATACTGACAACAAAATTAAATCAAACTGAAAATTCCAAGATTGAGTATTGTAAAGTTTAGACTGCTACGTCTTCTGATCTCAGATTTTACCAGTTAAAAGGGCGTAACAAACAGAATAAAAATCAACGTAGAAAGAAAGAGCAGATGTGAAAGAAAATGGAATGCAAATGTCATCGAAAATCTGAAAGGAAATCGGTTAGTGTCACTGGACCGAGCATTCCGCAAAGAAAGTGAAACGAAAACGTGGCACGGCGAACACCGGCGCACGGAGTGCGCAAACACGAAGAAACCGGAGCGTGAGCCTCGTGCTCGGAGTAAGAAGAGCGAGGCAATAGGAGAAGAAGAGTTCGTTTACCCACGAGTTATCGCAACAGGACACTTTCGAGCTGTAATCGCCGTTCCGCGTCACGTTAGCGATTCTTTTTTTTTTTTTTTTTTGCTCATCTCTGGGCCAATCGACGTCTGTACGTACTCGTGAACGTTTGATAACAGGCAGACAGGATGACGAAACAAAGAAACATTTTCAAAAGACTGCCAAAAATGAATCAACCGAACTTGGAACCAACCACTTTCAAACAACGCATTCCCCAGGTCGAATCTTTTCTGGCGAAGATTTCTGGGGTTCTACGAGAGCTCAAATTGGGTGAAAAGAAGAAAAAAAGTAATGGTCGATCTGGTGGCGAAGGATTGTAGAAGAAACGAGTAAAACGAGGAGGAAACAAAAGGATCGGACGACAACGAAACAGCGGAACAGGGAGAAAGAGATTCATAGAAAGACTGTAGGGGAAAGGGGGTGAATAGAAGAAAGAGAGAGTGAAGAGGAAGGAGAAAGGAGGCCATGGGAGAAGGTGGGACGTCCGAGACCCAATAGAAGGTTAAAAAGAGGAAAACGTGAACGAGAAGAGAGCCACGATGGAGAGAAAGAAAGCGAAACGGCCGCGTACGCGAGCGAGAGGAGAAGTCAGAAGAAGAGAAGCAACGAGAGAAAAGAGAGGGTGTAACACGAAGAAATCGACGGAGAAGAGAAGAGGCCAAGCTAACGAAGAGGATACTGGCAAACGACAGAGAGAAGACTAGAGGGTCCGTGACCGAGCAGGATCAATGCACGCCACGGACCTTGAGAATCCCTCCGCCTCTCTCAGCCAATCTCTCTCTTTCTCTCTCTCTCTCTCTTCATCTCTCATCTATCGGGATATTCCCCTCCGTGGGTCTTGCGCAGCCCTTGCAGCAAAAGTAAGTACGATGGAACGTCGTCGTCGTCTTCTTCGTCGTCATCTTCGTCTTCTTCGTTGTCGTCGTCGTCGTCGTCGTCGTAGTCGTCGTAGTCGTCGTTGTCGTCAGTGGAACGCGAGGAAGAGTAGAAAGAGGAGGACGACCGTGACGAACGAGAAACATAGGGGGAACGAGAGGGAAGGTGCAGATTGCATCGCGCGCCAGTATTGTCAGGAACACGGACGACGCATAACCTCACTAACACACTTGCGGTCGACTGATATGCAGGCCGATGCACCATGGTGGCCCCTCTCGGGCCAATGCTCCTCTTTCTCTCGACAGATCGGCTAAACCTCCCCTCTCTTTCTTTCGGCTCGACCGTTCGGTAATCTTCTGAAACACCGGAAACTGTCCTTCAACGATCTTTCATTTTCATCGATCGATTGTTGGTTACGGCGATTCGTTGTCACGATTTAGATTGATTTGCTAAACTTATTGGTTGGCGTTGATTTTTTAGTAAGTAAGATATTTAATGGAATTTGGTAGAGGAAGTTGGAACGCATAGGCGATAAAAATAATTGGTGTACGGAGGGCAATTTTATGGTGAATTCGAGTGAAGAGTTCTATCATGAAAATTTCCAGTTATCCAAGTTCTATGAAATTTTAGTACTCGTACAAAAATCGTATGTAACAAACGATCTTCTGTTATATAAATTGTTTATCTTTCGACGATTTCGGATAAATGGTAAATTTTACATTTATTTGGTCCCTAATCTCCTGATACTTTTATTATAACGTTACTTTGGAATATATTGTCTTATAAAAATTAAAAATCAACGATTAAAATTCGCTATGTTTCTTTTCTTCCAAGAATCGAAACACGCGCTCTTGAACTCTTTCAAACTTCAAATAAAATTCTTCGAATCGCTATTGTTCGCCGAATAAAACACCGAAATAGAAATCGAGAGCAGAGGAATTGAAACGTCAAACGAGAACTGTTTGCGAATCGATGATGCAAACTTCCGTCCGCGAGAACGCCGAAAGTTATGGGACAGCTGCGATTGCAACAGGTCAACCCTTTTCGAGCAGCTTTGGCCGAGCGTGTCTTTCCAGCCCTTTACAGCTGGTGTTTACGTAAAATTCACGAAGAATGACCGAATATGCCTGATGATCGACAGCTGCGTGATTCAAGTTCAGCCTCGAAAACGTGTGCACCTTTACGAGCTGAGAGATATTTGCATCTGGTTGACGCCGAAAGCTTCGAATCAGGTAGATGATACTCCCTTTAAATCCTTCCCCTTTTGTACGTCTCGTCGTCTCTATTCACGTATATATGCATTTCAACGACTTTGGAAAATCGGACGGATCCGACAGACGAAAATGATAATTGTGAACATTTGATCGAGAATTTCCGCCATTTTACGCAACACGAGTGGACGACAGATGCCGATTACCGATCGGCCTTTGTCCAACTGTTAAAGCTTTCAGGAAAACCCTTTTATATAATTTTCGACCCTCGAAAAGGGAAGTCTGTAAGCGTTGCGCGATGTATTGATGCGCGAATGAAAGAGCTCCGATTTTCAATCTTTCCACAAAGAATGATCCAATGGCTCTGCAGTGCCGAATCCTTGCGTATGTTGATTGAACATGTTTTCACCATTTCTAGCCAATTGATTGAAATTGATTTTTGGATCTCGCGAAATTGGTCTTCGAGGTGATAGTTCTGTTTCGAAATGATAATTAAAAGCGAAATAAAGAAACACTAGTCTTCGATTACGGAAATATAATAATATGTATGTCGGAGCCAAAATTGGAAAAGGAAATAGAAAATATCTATTATCCTTTATATAAATCATAATTTTAAAATTTTCATACTAACTTACAGACTTTAGAAACTTTTCCACTCTCTTGTGTTAAAATACCTTCTATGGTATTTAAAATGAAAATAACCACAATATTGATTTCTATTGTGATAATTATTCCAAGAAGGCAAAAGTCTGATATAATTCTTATTTCAGTTCTTTCCAATTTTAGACCACTCCCTAGAGGTCAATCTCTAATATATATAATAGTCAAAAATATCCATTATTAGTATATTTTATATTACTTCTCTTTATAGTACAACAACTTAAATGAATTATAACATACTTAAATCCTGAACTCAGAAATTCAATTTTACGAAAAAAAGGGTTAGCAAAAGCCATAATCTAACGGACGGAGAATTTTACATTAAAATCTACCTTATATCACGTATCACCTATCTTTATCCATCACTAGACTACAGATTTTTATTTACAATATTTATGCAAAATTTAGAAGTACAAGAATGTGGAAAATGCACACAATGCGCAAAAATATATAAAATAGATCCAAAATGGAGCAACTGTCACGATACGTGAGACAAATCTCTGTCTAGATCCCACATTTTCAACCATTTAAAAACAATACAAACACGCATAAAAATTTGCAGTGTATTCATCACCGAAATCGATCGTTTCACGATCATCGTAAGCGCTTTGAATCTCGAAGAATTCGACGCACGTGCGTGCTCGATGGCAGGTGCAACCAAGAGCCAACGCTAGCACGCGTGTCGATGGAAAAGGGCCACGAGAAGGAGGAGGAAGAGGAGGAGGAGGCGTGCCTGAATCAAAATTCGATCCTTCGCGTAACCTTCTGGCCGGTTGTTGCGTGGCTCGTTTTCCCTTTCTAACCGGTACGCGGTGGATCCCCTTTCCGCTTCTTTTCCGGCCGCGCGTCACAATGAGAAGCGCGCGTGACGAGATGCGGCGAACAGCTGCGTCCAGACACGCGCACCGCTTCGGTATTATGCAACTCGGAAAAGTACACCCCTTATTATGCCACAACGAAGACCTACGGAAGCTACCAAGGTCTCGTGTGTCGCGGGGGTGCGACGCGTGCAGCGTGTAACGCGACGCACGGGACACCGTCACGACTTCCGCGTGTCGATCGTCAATTCGATGGATCTTCGTTTCGGCAAAGGGAAGGATACTGAAAAAAATGGTAACACTTGTGGCCATTTTTATGTGGTCAGATGGAAGAATTTCCGGGTGTTCAAAAAAAAAAAAAAAAAGAAAATCTTTGAATGATAGTAAATGCTAGTAGTTCCTGTTGAGAAAATATTGTTGAGAAAAATTGAAAGAATTTTGGGAGTCTTTCTTTTTAATTCAGGAGAGAATTGACAGAATTTTGTTGAACATTAGATTTCTTTTTTATGATTTTAAGGAGAATATCTGTTTTACTAATTGTAAGTGCAACACGGTTTATAATTATTCAGGAGATATTTTCAAATCATTTCAGCACAGAAAGAAAGATTGATTTTGAAGTATTTTTGGAAAAATAATAAGAATAAATATAAAGTAGATGGTAGATTATTGAAACAAATTGGTAAGGAAATTATAAAATCGTTCCGGTTTAGTACATGGAAGAAAGATTGATTCTTCTCGGAGAAATTCAACTCACATTATATGACAACTGGCAAAATGTTCATGAACGAATCAATCGTGTAAATTAATACTTCTGCTATCTGCTATTCTGTATCACATTTTGTTTGTTTCTTGTTAATCAACGAAAATATATTTCACTCTACATAAAACCGGATACAGGTGACACTGTTTCGAAAGATTCTCAATTTTCGACGGGAAAAAGTAAGCTAAGGATACATGTATCTACCTGTAAATGCATCTGCATGGGAAATGGCTTAATGCAAACAACCCTTTCACGTCAATTCCCACGGTGTTCGTTTCTAGAATCATTTTAACCTTCACAAAAGGGTCTAAAAGGATTCTTTCTAATCGTACTTTTGCTTTGCTATTTTTATAATATTTTTGCTCGAATAATCATATGCTTGCTTTGTTCTAATTTTTTTAAATAAAAAGAATTTAGTGGAAAAAACAAATTGATCGATACGAGATAAGAAAACATAAGAAAATTGATTCGAATAGTAAAGGGACAAGGGGTGACAGATTTATTAGATACATCTGGAGGATCGGTAAGAGGAAACGCAAAACGTGACACAAGCCGTAACACGAAACCTCTTTACACAAGAGATGATTTAATGTAACGGATGTAACAACTCGACACGTGGCTATCCCGCTGCCCGTAACACTGGCTATTGCAATTCGCCAATACCAAGAAGATATTGAAGAACTTATTACTCACGAAATTATTTGTAAGATAAAATAAAATTTAATATCACGGAAATAAAACAGAAGGTAAATGAGGAAATCTATATTTCTCGAGATTAAGGAGAAATGAATTTAAAGCTACGTCGAAGCGAATGAAAGATCGTCTGAAAATAGAACGAAAGTATAATCTTAAGAAGAAAAATTTATAGGAAATCCAAGAAAAGGGGTTGAGCGGTCGGATTTCTCTTTTCCAAAACTTCTGTCGACACCTAGCGGCGACAAAGGGCCGCGAAGATTCAGGGCCCAGTTTGGGCCCGTCACGAAAGAGCCATCTATACTGTGTCTTACGAATTATTTCGAGAACTCAGAAAAATCGGCCGGCAAATTTTGAAAATTGATTCTTCGATCGGTATTCGTCCATCGATCAGAAAACTACTTTCACGAATGTACAAAATGGTACGAAAAAAATTTCGTAGAGTTTAAATCACTGAAAGTCTGAAGACTAAAATTATGGGAATTTCTTGGTCAACAGGAAGTCTTGAAAATTGTGAAGAGAAAAACTCGTGGTTATAATTGTACGTAAATTTCTGAAGAAAAATCTCGTCTCATAATTGCACGTGAAAAGGAAAAAAAAAGTTATCGCATGCCCTAGAATAAGGAGGTAATGATATGCTAATGGAACGACTCTATTAGAATCAAATCGAATGACTCACCGCAAATTAGAGGCATCCGTTCCTCATTCACGAGCTCGTACGCTATTCATGCGACCTTAGTCATCGGCATTTATCTCGAGGAGAGTATCAAACACCTACGAGGTTCGCGCACGTATTGCTGCTTAATGAGCCACGGTTAAATTATCACCTCGTCCTGATTAATCTTTCTCGCTCGAACCGGCCATGGAACACATCTAATAGGTGCCAAAGTGTTACCCACGTTAATTCATAGTGTGAAATTATATCATTAGTTTGTTATTTCTATCTTATTCTTTTTGAATTACGTCCAGCGAGGATAAATTATATTAATTTTTTATTTTTTACTTTAAAAATCTTTCGAAAAGATTTTTTTTCTTCGCGTTGAAATAAGTGCAGACGATGATAGTGATTCATTATGTATAGGGATTTCGACACTCGATGAGATATTGGTTTCATATAACATATAACGTTAAGTCAATGTTTGGTTACTTGCTGCTCTAATTAGAGACTAAGACACCTGTAGTTGATATTCATTAGAGACAGATCTAATTACGCAATTCTCCTAACAATTTGAAGGTAAAGGTAAACAATTTGGAGGTAAGATGTCGCTCTTAACACGCAAGATTATCAACATTATGTTAATAATTGGGTTATTCGTTTTAGATTTTCTTGTATAATTACTAAAAATAAAAAATTATTATATTTTTAATACAATATCTTAATATGTGTCCCACTTAGACCGAAAAGTAAAATTTGCGCCCTAGTTCACCTAGTCACCCAATCACCCCGTAATCGCGTCGAGGATCGACCCTCGTTGTCGATTATACTAAACGACCTGGATCTCGTTCGCTCCATCCGGTACCACCGGTCTCCCTTATTAACACTGTTACACCACCCTTAAACAATTTCGCCCAACTTCTCCCCCTTACCTGTTTTGATTCTTAAAAAGAATACTTTACCAGAACGATAGGTAAACTTGTTCAATTTACCAAATCTTTCTTTGCAGAAATCCATGGCATGATAGCGGGTTTGAATTTTTTCTACATATTTCACACAAGGTTCTATCTTGACGATAAAATATTAATTATCCTGCTTACTTTGATCTTTTGTGATTACAATTTAAAACCCTTTTCCAATTCACGTCTCTTACTTTATTTGCTCAAAACTGAACAATTTCGTAGGACGAATTTACAAAATTAAGGCCACGTGACTAATTAGTAAAATATTTCATAAAAAATAAAGTTACGTAGGAATCTATAAATATAAGAATCTATTACTTGACAACGTTCGTTTGTGTTGCCAATCTCTAAACGAACATCATCTAGAAAAAAATCCCAAGTTCACCGAACGAAAGCCGAATTGCACTGCTCCCGAAAGCGAAAACTCTCTGCTGAGGAAAAGGATGCCACGTGAACAACCCCGAAAACAGTAGTGATACCTCGTGCCCTCTGCCGGTGCTCGCACATAGCGCTCAAGTATATAATAAAAGTAGAGAATCGTACGGTGCATTGCACCCCATGTCAGACAGGGCAGACTGGTGGGGAGGGGGAGGGGGGGAGGCGGTAAGGGAAGAACGGCAGAGGGGGTTGGATCGATTCCGGGCGTTGGCGCCGAGGTCACCGGCTCGCCTTGCTCGGAGTAATGACCCTCACCCAGTGCAGTGCAATGGCATCGTCGTCACCCCCTTCCCTCCCCTCTCCTTTTTCTTCTTTCTCTCTTTCTCTCTTTCTGCTCGCTACTCTGGAGGCAGTTTTCCCGTCGCCGACGCCACCACCGCCGACGCCACTGAGGAAGAAGGGGTGGAAAAGACTTTGTGCTCGAGGGGTCGCTGTTCAAGGGGTTAGAGGGTGTCTCGACGTAGCATATCGGCCTCTCTCAGGAAGATATAAACCACCGTGCAACGGAGGGGGGAGGGGGGGGAGAGGGTGGACGAAGGCGAAAAGGAAACGGGAGAGAGAACTATCGTAAAATCTTTTTCTTTCTCCCTTCATCTGGTTTTCCTCTGATTCGCGCGACGCAGAGACGGTCTCTTTCTCTCTCTCTCTCTCTCTCTTTTTCTCTCTCTCTCTCCCACTCGTCATCCCTACTTCCAATGACGGACGACAACGGTGCTGATGAACCCTGGCATCCATCCACTCGTTGGGACCTTAAACTTCGGGGGGAGGTCAATGATCGATGTCGCGGCAACCATGTTCGACAACCGCTCCCACCTTGACTCGCGACGCCGATTCCCCGGTGAATTATTCACCGCCGTGATATGTACCGGCTGATCGCACCTGCCACGAGTGCTAATTTCGTGATGATCGCGTGACGGACCACCGCCGTTTACCGTCGGGGGTTTGCTCGACAAAAACTGACCGTTTCGAGCTAATACAGCTCAGTGAAAATTACAGTGAAGTCAGGATTTTGAGGATTGGAATACGGTATGAACTTTTGAACTTTCGAGAGCGTCATCCTTTTAATTTTGGAGAGGAGATAATTAAGTTGAGTTATGAATTTTTTACAATAATAAACGCGGAAGATTTTATCATATTTTATGGAATTAGAAGTTCATCTTGCATCACAACTTTTTTGCATAAGGGAGATGAGTTTTAATTAGGCGACTGTAATAACAAGTGTAATAAGGTGTAAGGTGAATTTATGATGGAATTTCGGAGCCGAGTGAGATAATTGGGTTAAGGAGAGAATGGAAGAAAGAAGGGGAGATTAAGAACGTGATGTTTAAGCAAAGACTATATGTATCTGACTCAGTATACTTGTTATGAATATTAAATCAGAAAGAATTGGAAACAAAATCCACAACGTGACAATTTTTGATTACTATTATAAATGGACTAAGTATTGATAATTACTCAAACGACATCAATAGTCGATCGATTTTCCTCGAATAATTCTCGAAATTTCAATAATTGTAATTATCAACTTTGTCGATCCAATAAAGAATCGTATACATACATTAATAATAGCAAGAGACTTCCATTTACACTTTTACAGCAAAGATGAAACAAAACATTTAAAAAACACCAACACTGATAAGCTATTGTTTTTTAACCCTGTACATATCGAAACAATTGAATAAACACCCAAATCCCATAAACACTTTCACCAAACCAATCCTCGCTTCAATTTAATCTCCCACCACCCGGTGACTTACAACTCTCAACGCGCCAAT